CTTAAGAAAGAATGCTGATGAGGGCAAGGAACATGTCTTGTTTGGATTTTATGATTTGTGTGTAGGTTAACATTGTTTCCACTGTTTTTTTTTTCCTTTTTCTTCTGTTGAGTTTGAAATAGCAACAAAAGTGTCAAATGATATCCTTGGGAATTTAGTACTGGCCTCTGAGGGAAAGATGAAAGTTAGAGTTACAGATTGAGTAACCTTGGAACTAGACAGGTGGGGTGGTGCATGTCTGTAATCCCAACACTTGCCAGGCTGAGGCAGGAGGATCATAAATTCTGGGCCAACCTAGGCTACATAGTGAGAACTTGTCTCAAAAAAAAAAAAAGCTAGGCATTGTGGTTTATGACTGTAATCCCAGCTAATTAGGAAGTAGAGATTAGGAGTATCACAATTCAAAGCCAGCCCAGGGTAAATGTTAATGAGACGCCATCTCAACAAAACAAGCTGTGCATGCATTAATCCCAGCTAGGTGGGAGGTGTAGGTAGCAGGATCACAGTCTGAAGCTGGCACAGGTAAAAACACAAGACCCTATCTGAAAAATAACTAAAGCAAAAAATAGGACTGGCTACATGGCTCAAGTGGTAGAGCTCTTTCCTAGCAAGCACAAGGTCCCAAGTTCAAAATCCCCTAACCTGCCAAAAAAAACCACCAGAAATGCTTGTGACCAGAAGTTTCACATTTTCAATTTTTTTAGATTTTGGAATATTTGCATATACATAGATATCTTGAAACTCGTTTGTGTTTCATATGTAGCTTATACACATAGCCCCAAGGTACTTTTATACCATATTTTTAGTGAACCCATGTTTTGACTGCCACCTATCACAAGAGGCCAGGTATGGAATTTTCCATATGTGGCATCATGTTGGCATTCAAAAAATTTTAGATCTTGAGGCATTTCATATTTCTGGCTTTTGAATTAGAAACAGTCAACCTGCAGTTGATTTTCTTAAAGGATAAAATAAGGATAAAATGAGTAAGGCTGGGAAGTGTCTTTTATCTCTGTCAGATGGGAGCTAAGATCCACAGTAAAGTGGACGGGCAATTTTTTTCTTTTTGTTTATTTGTTGTTTGAAGAGGACATCTGTATGTGTAGCTGGCCTAGGTTAAGGACCCAAGCCCAAGTTGTGTGAGAGGGACACACTGGGAAGGGTAGCTTGGCTTGTGCTGTTGTAGTTTAAACATGTTAAAGATGATGTCTGGACTTCACATTGATTACAGGCTCTGCTGTGGGATCAGAGCCCAAGCAGGTAAAGGGGGTGTCTACATGAGACACAGGTATGAGGACAGAATCTGCAGGGCAGAGATGGGGAGATGAGAGACTGATTATATTCAGAGACATTGTTCAACAAGGTAAAAAAAAAAAGCTAAGGATGATAGGATTTTTCATTGTTAGTGAAAGAAGGTAGGGAAATTACAAACTAGACTGAACCCTGTCATGCTGGGTTGGAAGCTGAGACCTGCTCTCAGGAGAAGGAGAGAGAAGAAGGGAGAATAGGGAAGCAGGGAGTCCAGCAAACAGGGATTGGTGAGTAGCTCAGCTGAGGCTGTTGAACATGTTGCTTAGCATCCTAGGCCCCATTTAATGCAGTGAGGCTGTTTTTCAGGCTAAGGAAATAGTTTTATGATCAATAATAATTTTATACATTATTAGGATTTTGGGTAAATGTGTCCTCTTCTTTACCCAGCCATATATCATCATGGAAACATGGTAATGTTCCAGTATAAGCTTTATTTAGTTCACAGGTGCACAGATTTTAAGGTATTCATTCATACTACAGAATAATGAGAATGCATTTTTTAAAGTATCATAAATATGTTTCAACAAACTTTTGATATGTGTGAAAATAATATCCCAAGATAATATTTTTGTTGTTTTTCACTATAATCTATGTCTCAATTCCCATTTTCTCAGAGGCCAGATAGAAAACAACACTGAAAGAACAATAATCAGATAGGGTTGCAATCAAGATAATTCTGTTTTTTATCAGTGATGCGGAAAGATGTTTGCCTTTACGTATTCACAAAATAGGTATTGGAGAAATGCTGTATATATCAATACATGCATTATCAATCACATGAAAATTACTTCATTAACATTCCTGTAAAAATGATTGTTTAACCTACAGCTAGCACAAAAGAGAAACATTGGAAAGAATATAGATCACCTTTACAATGTTGTATTCTCAGCATTGTAAGAATCCATGTATTAAAAGGAAAAGGAAGTCAGTCACTGGTAGCTCACGCCTGTAATCCTAGTTACTTGGGAGACTGAGATCGAGAGGATTGCAGCTCTAGGCCAACCCCAGAAAAAAGTTCTTGAGACTTCATCTCAACCAATAGCTGGGCATAGTGGTATACAACTGTCATCCCAAAGTATGTGGAAAGCTGAGATTGGGAGAATCACAGTTCCAGGCCAGCCTGGGGTAAAAAGTTTGCAAGACCTCATCTCAATGGAAAAAAGCTGGGTGTTGTGATGCATGCCTGTTATCCCCTCCATGGTGGGTGGGAAGCATAAAATTAGGAGGATCGTGGTCTAGGCCAGCTTGGGCAAAAGCTGAGACCCTATCTCCAAAATAACCACAGCAAAAAAGGACTGGAGGTGTGGCTCAAGTGGTAGAGCACATGCCATGCAAGCCTTAGGCCCTGAGTTCAAATCCCAGTACCACCAAAAGGAAAAAGAAAAAAAATCCATATTCCTCAGCAACTTTTATTGTAACTCTCACAATGTACCTTTAAAATTCATTCATTTTAATAAATTAATTTTTAGTTGCCAAAAAAACAATGTACAAAGCAGGTGTTCAATGATTTTATCAGACAAAACAATCATTATATGCTACTGAGTATAGATAGCAATAGTGTATAAAATTTGTCAACTGAGAATAAAATTTGTAAACTTTGCTGTCTTTATAAAACCAGAGTGACAAAAATTAGACCAACTTCTCCTGGCCTCTGACTCACATAGTTTCAGATTCACTCACGTTGTGCAGCATTTGCCCAGAGCCAGCAAGGCAGGAAGAGAGTGCATTTCTTTAGTTTGTATTCATATTTACACATGAGTAAACAAAACTTCCCCTTGAGTATCTGTTCTCTTGGTTTTACCCATTACCTTGATGTTCTTAATTACTCAATTTTTGCCTCCCAAACTTCATCTCATCTAGCCTACTCAGCACCATTTTTCTGTGTCCCAATGTCCCACAATGATTCATATGCAATGTCACTCACACTTCACTTGAGATGGTCTCCTTATCACAGGTGAGATATTGTGAAATGGAGTACATGATTTGGAGCTTCCGTTTAAAAAGCACTACCTGGGCAAATTACTTAGCATTTCCAAGCTTCACGTTCCTCATTGGTAGTAGGAGTTATAATGCCACAGCATTAAAAATGAAAGAATTCACTTTAAGCACTAGCCCAGTGTCTGACAATTGATAAGCACCTGGCAAATGTTGGCTCTTTCTCCTCTATGTTCAATATTTAAAATATTTATCTGCTCAGATTCCAGTTTTCAGGCCTATTATTTAATTCTATTTGATTCCTACACATTCATCACCTATCATTCCAACAACCTAAAACAAGAAGTTTCCTAAAAGAGTTAGAAACCTCAAAAGGAATATTACTTAATTAAATAGAACTTTCCTGGCTATGATTTTTGACCAAGAGTTCACTTTTTAAAATGAGAGGGGGTAAGGATTTTATAAAGTAAAATTGGCCATAATGCTGTTTTCTTTAAGAATAGTGTACTAAGATTTTGAGGGGAGTAAAATTTATAATCTGAAGATTTGCCCTTAGGATGTAGAATTTTTTATTCTTAAGGCAATATTAAATTCTTGAGCAAACAATATGGCACAATATGCCTCTTTTTTCCTGAGTCAATCATTGACATTTCTGTGCATCTACATTGTGTTAGGAGGTCCTGGAAAATCCAGAGGCAAAAGAGAATTCTTTTTCCATCCCCAAATGGCCAGTACATTTCTCACTAGTGATGTGTAGTTTTTATTTCAGTAATTACTTGTGAATTCCCATTATCCTTGTACGTATACCCTCGGTTGGTTTCATGCTCATTTGTCCTTGAGAACTTGTTTGGAGGTTCTATTAGGAGAACACAGCCACTCGTATACCCTTCACTGGAAAACAGTTATTGTCTTCCACCCAGCTTATGGAGTGGTGAGGGAGGAAGGGGGGATACCAGCCTAGCCAACCAGGTCAGCCAGATCAATCCTGGTGAGCAATGGAGTGAGAGATGTTGCAGCCAGATCGCCCTCACATCCTGGTTTTATACTTATTTGAATGGTTGTCAAAAAAACACCATTGATCTGAGTATAGTGACACAGGCCTGTAATCCCAGCTCTTGGGAGGCTGAATCAGGAGGACCACGAATTCTAGGCCAGCTTGGACTACACAGGGAGACCCCCATCTCAAAAAACCAAATCAAATCAAACACCATTAAGTACATGGTTAAAGCTAGAGTAATGGTATATTATTTAGAGAGGGTAACTGAATATATTAAGTAGCTTTCAGGTCTGTATTGTCAAAGTAAGAGCCTAAAAAAAAGACATAAGTGGCCACCCTAAAGGTGAAAACCACCCAGATGTTCCTCAAATGATGGTTAGATAAACAAACTAGCTTATCCATACCATTGAATATTGTTCAGTCATTAAAATGAGTGAAATACCAATACATACTGTAATATGGATGAACCTTGAAAACATGCTAAATGGAAGAAACCAAACGTAAAAGGCTGTACACTGTGTAAGTCCATTTATATGAAATATTCAGAGTCAGCAAATCCATTGAGCTAGAAAGTACAATAGAGGGAACCAGGGGCTTGGAGATGGGGAGCTTCCATTTACTTGAATACAGAGTTTCTGATGGGGATGATGAAAAAGTTTTACAAGCAGATAGTGGTTGTGGTTGCACAGCATTGTACTCAGTATTACTGAATTGTATACTTCCAAGTGATTCAGATGGTAAACCTTGTTATGCGTACTTACCTCAAAAGAAAGAGAATCTGGTTTTGAGCTTAGATGCCATTGTGATAAGCCTGCTGTTTCTCTTTCTGCCCAGGAGCCATGGATAACAGAGGCTTTCAGCAGGGGAGCTTCAGTAGCTTCCAGAGCAGCTCCAGTGACGAAGACCTGATGGACATACCAAGGACAGCTATGGACTTCTCCATGAGAGATGATGTTCCTCCCTTAGACCGAGAGATGGAAGGTACCATTATTACCGACCACCATTGCTTTTTCAAATTACGTTTAATTTATGCAGAATAAACGGCCTTTATTTTCTGGCATACAGTCCTATGAGTTTTAACACACTGCTAGATTCTTGCAATCACCACTGACAGGATACAGAATGGCCCAGCCCCTAAGGAATTCCCTCCTGCTAACCCTGAGCAATCAGACCTCCCTCCTCTCTGACCCCTGCTGTCACTGATCTTTCCTCTATCCTTCCTAAAGATGTCACTCATGGAATGTCCATGATGTCATATTCATGGAATAGATATATCTTTTCAGTACATGAGAGCTTTGGTGTAGCCTGAGTGTATGAGAGTGCTTATTTCCCCCATAATCTCACCAGTGCTGGAAATATTGTCATTTTACATTCTCACAATAGAAGGTAAATGATTTCCATTATTTCAGCTCTCATTTAAAAATAATTTTTAATTAATGAAGTTGAACATAGTATCAGCTGTTTACTAAACAGTTTAACTCCTTTTCCCATAAGTCTTCTATTCATGCAATACTTTTATTTTTCTAATGGGCTGGTTTTTGAGCACTTAGTATGAACAAGGCAATATTGAAAACACTGGAGATACAGTGGAGGGGTTAAGACAGATACTGACCTAGAACATTGATCTAGTTGGGGAAGATAATAAATTAGTAAATATAGTATTCCTTCTGTATCTGAGGGGGATTTGTTCAAGAACCCCCTCAGATACTGAAATCTGTGGATGCTCAAGTACTTTATATAAAACGATGCAGTACTTGCATAGAACCTGTGCACCTCCTCCCATCTACTCAAAATCATCTCTAGGTTACTTATAATACCAAAGAAAAAGTAAATGCTATGTAAATAGTTGTTATATTTTTTAAAGAAAGTAATGATCAGAAAAGAGTCTGGGCATATCTGTATAAACCATTTTTTAAAAAAATTATTTTAAGCCAGGCACAGTGGACTCAAGAGCTGTAAATCCTAGCTACTTGGGAGGTAACTTTTAGCAAGACTCAATCCCAACCGACAAGCTGAGCATGGCGACATATGCCCATAATCCCAGCTATGAGGGAAGTAAGTATAGGAAGGAGGATCATGGTCCAGGCTAGCCAGGCACAACATGAGACCCCCATCTCAAAAATAACCAAAGTTAAAAGGTCTGGCATAGTGGTTCAAGTGGAAGGGCTCCTGTCTAGCAAATGTGAAGCCCTAACTTCAAAAATCCCCAGTATTGCCAAAAAGAAAATTCAGCCCTCAATTGATTGATTAGTTGAAACTATAAATGCACAACCTGCAGATACAGAGGGCCGCTGTAGCCAGAGTACTTAATTACCCATTGTGATAAGTACCAGGAAGGAAATAAACTGAATGGCAATAAATGATAACTGGAGAATAACACTTTAGCTAGGATGATTGGGTAAGGACTCTCTGAGAATGTGACAAACTTGGGATGAACGTATCAGTATGACAAATACAGGTTAAAAGGGATTACAAAAGACTGGGAGCAGTGTCACACACCAAGTACTCTCAGCACTTGGGAGGCTAAGGTTGAAGGGTCTAGAGTTTGAGGCCAGCTTGGGCTATAGAGGGAGATCCTGTCTTAGAAAACCAAAACTAAACAAAAAACAAGGATCTCAAGAAATTTGCCTTGGGAAGATACTTCAAGAAAGTGACACCAGGAGACAGCCTCTGGATTTGAAGTTCATAAAAAGAGAATTACTTATGGTTTGGTATTTCATGGTTTTCTGTATTTGCCTGCTTCCACAAAAGGGAACTTTGTGTGTTCCTTCCACTTACATATATTTACAACTGCGGTGCATCAGTTACAGCGACTGGTGCATCACTGGCTCTAGTAAAGTGGTCAGGTAGGGTTATCCTAAACTGAGACTCGCTGCCTCTATTTAAGCCTTCTGTTTAAATCAGAGAGGTTAGCTTAGTTATTGTTACTGCTTCTAATAAAAAATGGTCTCATGTAGCCTTCCTATCATCAAAGTCCTGCTTGTGTGTTCATGTTGCTGGCAGTAGACAATTGGGGCATCAGTGTTCATTGTTCCCATTTTATAGACTGGAAAACCAAGGCAAGACAAAATTTTTTTGACATTGCCTGTGATTGTAGAATGTGTTTTTACATGAGTAGTCCTTCCCCACTTTTCACTTGCTTTTCTAGGAGAATTACTGATTATGGTTTACAAGGGCTGACCATAAAGTAACGAGGCTGCTCTTTGTGAGCCACATGTGAAAATCAGCCCACTTACTACACTCTGTAGTGATGCAGTGTTCTTGCTTTGCTTTCAAATTTTTCTTACTTTATTTAATGTTTTCACATGGGATTTCCTAATAAAGACAACACCAATAGAGAAAGGTCACAAAGTCCTTGAGATGAGATGGTGAAACTGTGCATAAAATACTACATTTTTGTACCAGGCACAATAGCATGTACTAAAAAGATTAGTTAGAAGGAGCTTGAAAGGCAGTAAAAGTGGTTCTGGTTTTCCAGATGGCTAGAGAAATTGATTGATGAGATGACTCAATAAATTATGCATGGCACTGCTAAATGCATCTGAGGTAGTGTTATAGTAGTCTGTAAATTAAGAGAAACATAAACACAGAGATCTGAAAGAAGCAGAGGAGGAGGAAAACAGAAAAAAGCATTGAGTAACAGGAAAACATTCAGAGCTGTTCTCATGGTCCATCTGTTCTCACTTGCCCGCTTCTGCAGCATGGGTCTCATAGTCAGTGCTGCATCCATTCATTCATTCACTGTTTGTGGGGCACCCAGATATGAGCCCAGCACTGTTCTGTTTTAGTCATGCTCTTTGATTTCCTCTTTCTCTCACTTCCTCATCTTTCTACCCATGGTTCCTTGCTCCTACCTAACTGCCGAATGAGGACATATTCCTGGCAGAGGAATACCTGCCACGCGGGTAAAGGCACAGCAGCATGAGAGTATCTTTTGAATTCTAGAAACAAAGAGTCTGCCTGCATGAGGCCTAAGGCTCTTAGGCTTGGGAGGGTGGTAGCAGAGGACAGCAGAGGATAGGGAAGGCTATCTAGCTAGAAATCTAGGTGGGGTCAGATTGTGTGTGCTTTGGGACCTTATCTTATAACCAAGTCACCAAAAAATGATTTAGAAGCAGAGGAATGATATGATCAGATGTGAATTTTTGAGAATTGGCAGTGTGAAGAGTGATTGAGGGGAAGTGTGGACTGGAAACTGTAAGATCAGTGAAACTGTTACTGATTTAATAGTCTAGGCAAAAGATCAAAAGGCCTGAATGAAGACAACAGAAATGAAGAGGAAGAAATAATAGGGTTCTGGAGAAATTTCAGAGGGGAAATAAATAGGGCCGAAAAGATATGGGGAATAAAATAGAAAAGAATCTGGGATGACTTCAAAGTCTAAGCTTTGTTATGGGGTAGGCTGTGTTCCCCAAACCACCTGCAGAGTCTCAGTATAACCTCCCGATGTCCCAGAGCAGAAAAAAATTATACCAGTCAGATGTGACAGAATGAAAAACGTAATGGGACTTGAAATCTACCATGTAACTTGTGAAGCAGTTCTGGTTGTTGTGCCATACTGTAAAAAAAAAGTCACAGTTTTTCTCCAGGGATAAATGGAAAACATCTTGGGCTCCAGCTCATAAAGAAACCTACTATCATGACCTCAGTTAGGCTCCCCTGAGCCGTCTGACTAGAACAACTGTGTGCAGAGAAGAAAAAGTACTCAGGAATCTATCGTCCTCATAATGTGGGAACTTCCCTAGACACTTAGCCTGGGAGAGCGGCAGTTGCTGCTGCTTTTTGAATTTGAAAAAACAGTGACCTGTGTGAAGAGCTCTGTGGGACCACACAGCACACCAGTTTCATGTGCTGAATCTTAAAATGAACACCTATGGTGGTTTCCACAGGCTCTACGGGCTTCCTTTAGGTTATTTCATAGGAAAATGGGCAGATTTTAGAGTTGATAGCCACGCTGTTTCCCCCATTTATTTTTATTAGCTAAAGTACATACTTTATTCAGATTCATTTAGTGTTTACCTTCATGTCTCTTCCAGGGTATCATGTTACGTGAAGTCATCACATCTCCTTAGGCTTCTTGTGGCTGTGATGCATCCTCAGATTTGCCTTATTTTTGATGACCTTAACAGTTTTGAGTACTTGTTAGGTGTTTTGTAGAATGTCCCTCAATTGGGATTTATCTGATTTTTTTTTTCTCACAATTACACTGGGATTATAGGCTCTGGAGAGGAAGACCATTGAGGTCAAGTGCCCTTCTCAGCACATCATATGAAAGGCCCATCCTGTAAGCATGACTTACTGTTGTTGATGGTAACCTTGATCACCTGGTTGATTTATTGTTCTTGGGTTTCTCCACTTATGTAAAGAAAGCTACTCTCCCATTTTCCATACTGTGCTCCTTGGAAGGAAGTCATTATGGTCCACACTTAAGGACTACAGAGTTATGTTCTACCTCCTACAAAAATAATTTGGGATTGTTACGCATGGGAGATTTGTTTACTGTCTCTTATTGATTTATTCAATCACTTACATCAGAATGGACTCACTTATTTTATACTTTGGGTCCTGCAAATTGTGCTAGCTTTAGTCATTGGGAGCTCTTCTAGTTGGCTCCATTTTCCATACCCCTATCATTATGGGGTTTAAAAAACACTTCCTTACTTTTTGCCACTATCACATGCTCCAGGCTTGTGCAGTATATTTCCTACACTGGTACTAGAATTAGCCATCTCAGCAAGGATCCCTGGTTCCTTTCACAGGACAATGGTATCAGAAATGAAGATATAGGCATTTAGGCATGCTCATTTCCACCAAGGCATTGTTGTTTCTAAGCCCTTCAGTCAACTGAGTAAGAAAATACATGTATGTATACTGACATACATATATATGTATATGTGTAGCTACCTGTATCTACATTAAGCTAAACATGAGATCATACTGATTGATGTCTCTACTTGTAAAACATTACCACATGGGTTATT